CCTCAGCAGAGCTCTCCCCCAGCCGTCGGTGCTGCGGCCCGCCCAGGGCTACCTCAGGCCCGCTCGGGCGCCGCCTTCGGGGCGGGGCGAGCCTCCTTGCTCCCCAGCACCGCCCATCTTCGGGCCGCTCGGTGTCTAGGTCCCGCCCCCAGCACCGCCCAGATGCCCCCTCCCGTAGCCAACGCCTCCTATCCTGTCGGTAGGGTCCCCACTCTCCCTCACAACACCCCTCGAAGCTTCTCACCTCCCTGGCTCTTCCCCGAGCAGCGCCCGCACCCCACCACTGTCAACGCCCCCGATCCTTCTCTCAACACCACCCTGATCCCGCCCTCAGCACCGTTCTTTCTCACTTCTCAGCACTTCAGTAACCAGGGCATGAGCATCGTGCGGATCCGATCTGCGGTCAACACTCCCTGATCCTCCACTTGGTCCTGACCCCGCCCTTAGCACCTCTTACCCCTCCTTAGTCGGTGATCCCGAACCCGCCTAGCTTGGTCCTCGCCTTTGGCACCGCTTCCAAGACGGAAATCCGCCCACACCTCTTCATTGCCCTCAAGCTAACTCCAATTAATTCCCCTCCTCGCAGCTCTTGGCCCTTCCTCAGCCCGGTCTCAGTCTGCTATGCCCCCTCGAAGTCTTTGGCCCCTACTAGTCCACAACTGCCCGCTTTGGCCAGTCCATCCCTACCTAACCTCCTGCCCAACTCAGCCGGGAAAACCGTCCAGCTCGCAGTGGCCTGCCTCTATCCTTGGCCTGGCTTGTACCCAGTCAGGAGCAGGCATGAGGTCTCCATAGCGTAGTTCTGGGGTAGGACTGACGATGAAGTGCTGTGGCAGAACCCACCTCGATGTTCCCACTTCCGGAATGCGAAAGCCCCCGTAACACGCAGCAAAGGCAGCTTCCATTAGGTAAAATGGAAGAGGAAATGAAAATTCTTGAGGGCAAAATAACCCAAAGTCCCATTTGGAAGAATGACAGACCAGACAGGAGTCCAGCCAAATCTGGACTCCCTAGGAATACAGTCCAGATCCCAATCAAAACACACCTGCACCCAAGAAGAGGTATAACGTGTGGGCTAATGAGGTTTGGCCTGGAAAACCAGAGGTCGCAGAAACTGGACCCAAATGTCTGTGAGCAGTCTCAACTAGATCAAACAGGCCCCATCCCTAAAGATGAGAGGAAACTCAGAATGTCCTAGCCTCTTCAGACAACCTTTTACACCTTCCATGGATATTTAATTCAATAGATTTCATTAATGGCTGTGGCGACGCACTGTTCTAGAGCCTTGAGATCCATCCATGAATAAAATACAAAATCGAAACCTTCCCCAGTAGGAAAGAGAAGAGGGCTTCCCAAAACTTAGGGAAAACACAGAGAGCAAGCCCACAGGCGCGATCACCGCAGGCTGTGACTAGCCTCGCTGGCACATGGAGAAAGCAGAAGAGCCGCTTGTTCTGAAACAGCTGAAACTCCATCCCTGTGAGAAATGCCCAGCAGTTCCAGCCAGGAACCTCTAGAGTGCCACTGGGCAGGAATTCCGAGAGCCTTGCCTTGGCACATCTGCAGTGGTGGAGAAACTGCCTCCATTCCAATACGTATGCTGAACCAGAGTGGTGCCCTCCTTGAAGATCGCTCTGGGGTGGGAAGTACCCCTCAGCTGGGTCTAGCTCCCAGGCTGAAGGGAAAAGGAAGTCCAAGAGCCAGGTAAGCATGAGCAAGGGGGAAGGGTAGTCAGTCATGGCTCACTGGTCTCTGCTCTGCCCTGGGTCTAGGGAAGAAGGGATTTTGGTCTGCATGTGGGCTGTGTCAGTACTTTGATTCATGGAGTACTATGACATTTTAAAATTGGACTGTGAAGCGCCAGGTATAGTGATGAACGCCTGTAATGTCAGCACTTGGAAGACTGAGACAGGATTGCCTTTAGTTCAAAGATAGCTTGATTTATATAGTACCAGGCCACTCAGGGACAAGCAGTGTCAGAAAACAAAAACATTCAAAAACAAACAATAAAAGAAGTACCTGTGGTGAGGGCTACACGACTCAGGAAATGTATTAAAACCATTAAAAACAGGGTGAGGGAAGGCTCAGTGGATAAAATGCCCATGGTGAAACATGAGGATCCGAGTTCAGATCTCCAGTGTCCATGTGAAGTGTCAGCTGTGGAGGTGCACACCTGTAACCACAGTGCTAGACAGAGCAGATAGACAGATCCTGGAGGCTTGGCCAGATAGCCTAGCCAAATGGCAAGCTCCAGGTTCAAATGAGACTTTGTCTTTTCTTTTCTTTCTCTTTTTCTTTTCTTTCCTTCTTTCCTTTCTTCCATTTGTGTCCTAGAGCTCAGTCTGTAGACCAAGCTGGCCTAGAACTCAAAGATCAAAGAAGATCCACCTGCCTCCACCCCGAGTGCTGGGAGTAAAGGTGTGCAGGACCACTGTCCTTCTGACACCTGGTCTTTAAAAACAAAGGGGGGAGGGCTGGAGAGATGACTCAGTGGTTAAGAGCACTGCTTGCTCTTCCAAAGGTCCTGAGTTCAATTCCCAGCAGCCACATGGTGGCTCACAACCATCTGTAATGAGATTTGGTGCCCTCTTCTGGCCTGCAGGAATACATGCAGAATACTAAGAATGCTGTATACATAATAAATAAATAAATCTTTAAAAACAAAGGGGGGGAACAATAGGGAGAACAATACAGGACACCCAACATCAATCTCTGGCCTCTACATATGAATGTATACACAGGCACAGGTACCTCCTCACAACATACACATGTACATACATACATATACCAGACACACTCACAAAGAAAAATACAACAAAATATGTCAAGGAGAGTATTTTATGCTGTGCAGATCATACCTTATCAGATCAGATTGGCACTTCGGTTTTTTGTTTTGTTTTTTTTTTTTTTCTTTTTGGTTTTTCAAGACAGAGTTTCTCTGTTTAGCAGTCCTGGCTATCCTGGAACTCACTTTATAGACCAAGCTGGCCTTGAACTCACTGATATCCACCTGCCTTTTTCTCCCAAGTGCTGGAATTAAAGGTGTGTGCCAGTACCACCCAGCCACTTCCCTTCTTTTGGTAGTATATTTTTTAAAAGCACAGTGGCATTTTTTTAAATGCATTATGCTCACTTAAGATGGAACAGTTCAAAATTACACTCAATAAACTACTTTTCCTATAGAAAAGAATTGAGCCCTATTTCAACTGCAAATGTTGAAATAATGTGTATCTTAAATTTAAGTGACCCAAGATTTAAAGATTTTATTTTTTTCCAGGCAGTGGTAGCACACACCTTCAATCCCAGCACTCAGGAGGCAGAAGCAAGTGGGTCTCTGTGAGTTCGAGGCCAGCCTGGTCTTCAGAGTGAGTTCCAGGACAGGCTCCAAAGCTATAGAGAAACCCTGTCTCGAAGAAACAAAAATTAAAACAAAATTATTTTGTATTTGTGTATGTTTGGAGGCCACATTTGTGCAGGTGCTTGCAGAGCCCAGAAGAGGGCATCAGATACCACAGAGGTGGAGTCAGGTGACTGTGAATTTGAGAACCACAAACTCAGATCTTCTGGGAGAGAAGCAAAGGGCTGTTACCCACTAGTGGCTCTTAACCACTGAGCCCTCTCTCAAGTCCCACGCTTTTTTTTTTTTAAGATTTATTTATTTAGCTGAGTGGTAGTGGTAATCCCAGCACTGCAGAAGCAGAGGCAGGTGGATCTTTGAGTTCCAGGTCAGTCTGGTCTATAGGATTCTAGAATAGTCAGCCTACACAGAGAAATCCTGCCTCAAAAAAAAAAAAGAAGAAGAAGAAGAAGAAAGAAAAAGAAATATAAAAATCTAATTTATAAAAGTGGGCAAGACAGCTCAATGGGTAAAGGTGCTAGCTTCTAACATAAGGTCTTGAGTTGGATCCTCCAGTCCTAACATGGTGGAAGAAAACAGACTGGCGAAAGTTGTCCTCTGACCTCTACACATGCTCCATGGTGCCCTCCCCATCCCACATAACAAACTAATTTTCAAAATGATTTATCATTTATGTTTATGTCTGTGTGCTTGCGTAAGTTCATATACACCATGTGTGTGTAAGGGTCCAAAAAAGACAGGTGTCAGATCCCCCCAAACTAGAGTTATAGGTAGTTATGAACTGCTCTGGGAACCAAACCCAGGTTCTCTGCAAAGACAGCATTGAGCCATTTTTCCTGGCCCCTAGATTTAACTTTTTTCTTCTTCTTTTTGTTTTTGTTATTTATTTATTTATTTTGAGACAATGTTTCACTGTGTAGCTTTGGAGCTAGTCCTGGAACTCACTCAGTACACCAGTCTGGCCTTGAACTCACAGAGATTTGCTTGCCTCTACTTCCCCAAGTGCTGGGATTAAAGGTGTGCCACCACCAGCTGAATGAACATTTTTAAAGCAAGTTAGTGGGTGAGCTGAGTGGACATTAACAGTCACTGTCATGAGATGACACCATCTTAGCTGATAAACAGCAGATGTCCCGTAACCACCACTCTGTGTGTTTCAGAGCCATCCACCCTATCCCCAGAGGTCAGAAAGATAATCATGCCCTCTTCCTCTCATTCCTCATTCTTTTTGCATC